CTACAACACTCTCCGCTCACCGGGTGCTGCCAGCGCTAATGTGCCGGGGTCGTGACCCTGGCGTGCAGGGGTTAGCACTCCCGGGGGGATTGTTCCAGACGTCCGAATGGCCCGCCGAACCGGTCAGTCTCGGATGTGTGACGTGGGACCTGGTCGGCTCTGAGCTCGTCTTGTGTAACCGACAATCCATGTAAGCGTAACCCCTGGGGGTTCCCGAGCGGTCGGCCACCGATACAGGGACGCGTCTGACGTCAAAGGTGTGACTCATCCAGAGCCTGCGACCCGCGGTCAGCTGAATGAGGCGTCAGCCTGGATGCACGTGAATGCATGGATGACGAGCGCCGCGTGGATGGTGTAGTCTCGTGCTGCTGCGTCGGCGCCTCCGTCCTGTGGCGTCCACTCTCAATGGCTGTACAGCAGCGAGCTTAGTGGATTCATGCCACCGTATGAGATCCGCGATCCGCTCGAGGAAATTTTTTACTTTTATCAGGCTTTTCTGGCAATGGCTGGCAACAACGTTGTCCATCAAATTTGTGATATCTTGTGTATGTGTGTTGATGTGCAGCATTAGGGTATTGCAATTGATAAACAGGTTATTAAGGGTTGTGCTTGAATGACATTTGTATGATATTTTTGTTCATACGGCTACTTTTCGTAGCATTGTTACGTTTCAGCTGAGATGTTGATGATGCAGTTGAAATGTTGACACATGCAGTTGAAGATTGTTATATTCAGCTGAATATTAAAATATTTGGCCGAAAGTTACATGCCTCGTCGTGTGGGAGCTGGTGCTACTCTTGTACCGATGCACTCTGCAGCGCCTGGCCATTGGCGATGCCACACCGACTAGTCAGTCGGTGCCGGCGCTCCGCCAGGCATCGGCGGCGCGGCGGCGCGCGGCCGAGCGGCGGCCCGCCGGCTCCTGCCAAGCGGCGGCTCCGGCTCCGTCCGCCTGGCCGACCTCGTGACGTGCGGCCGGCCGGCGCCGCCGCCGACCCTTCCGGCTCCCGCACGCGCACGAGACCGAACCGCCGGACGGGGGGAGAGGGAGGGGGCGCCGGCTGTGGCGCATCGCTGACGGGACGTGACGGGACGCCGCGGCTGGACGGTGACGAGGCCGGGCAGTGACGAGGCGACCGTGAGAACGGACGAGGGAGGCTGTTGATCACGGCAGGCGACTGGTAAGGGGCTGAAGGGAGGATGGGTGTCACCGCCGATGAAGCTCGAGGGAGCGGCGGCGGCGCCTGACCCGTCGGTTACGTGTTGAGGTGGTCTCTGTCGCAGCGGCGGCGGGCTGCTGGACAGAGAAGAGAGCAAACTGTGCTTGGTGATGCGCAGGAGGAAGTCATCGATCAGGAGTAAAGGCAATACGCCGGCCGTAAGTCTGCTGAGTAGTCATCGATCTTCAGGAGATACGTCAGAAGTCAGGCGGAAAAAAGATCGGTGTTTAGAGGGTGAGGAGGACGTCATCGGCGAGCACCCAGCAAGGAAGGCATATGTCGCTACAGGCCAGAGACGGTCCGCGGCTGCCATGGAGAGGGGGGCTCCAGCGCCCGGTGACGGCCACGGAGGGTCCCCGCCTCCCCTCCATTGGGGAGGTGGTCCGCTATCACTGTCCGCCATCAGCTGGCCGGGTCGGACCCCTGCCGCCGCTCCCGTCACGGCCGGCGCCGCCACGCACCCCCGCCTCTCTGGCGCGCTCGCCGCGGCCGGCCGGCCGACCGTGGTCGGCTCGGTTTCCCCGGCCGTCCCGTTATCGGCGTTGCGTTGCATCAGCTGACTATCGCCGCCGCCAGCCGTGGCTGCTCTGTGCGGCAGCCGCACGCGGCCCGGCCGCCGTCACCGCGATGGCAGGATAATGTCGTGATAATCCTCGTCCTTAAGCTCGTCCCCCGGTCTTTAAGGTAATCTCCCTTGATATCGAACTTCCGGGCTGCTGTTGTATGCCAAGCCTCCAGAATTCGGCCTTAAATGTTTTGAGATGGCTTGGTGCCGCAGAATCACTCGCGCGGTGCTGTTTAGGAACGGTGTTTTCAAAACAGCAACATCGTTTGAATGTGTGCTTTCCGCGCAGCGCATGCAAATCACCCAACACCGGTGTTTACCGCACCTGTACACCGGACGCAGGGTTGGGTCTACACCGCCGGGCGCCGGCACTGCGGAGATCCCACGGCATTGCTGCGGCCTCCGGTGAGCCGCCGGGCGCTGGAGACGGACACAACACTGCCTCGTTGGCCGCGTGATCCCGGCTCTTTGTCGCCCCGTCCGGCTGAGGCCGTGATGTCCCGGGTCCCGGTACGCAGGACGGCGACCGTTCTGTGGCGGCGCGTCGACCAGGTGGGATGCCCCGGCTGCGGAGAGGCGGCGTGTGGAGCGCGGCTCGGCGTCTCGACTGAAGTCCGGCCGGGTGGAGCCCTGTGACTCAGAGCAGGGGCTGTGCCCAGTGGCATGCCGGCGTCTTGGGGTTACGTGGGAATGCCGGACGTCAATCTCCGCTTGATTCCACAGCGGGGCTCCGTCTGCACCGCTGACGATGTGGCCTTGTGGGGCTTCCCGACGGCGGTGTTTGCCAGGTGGTGGCGGAAGGCTGGCGGAGGAGCCGTCCGCTGGGAGGTGGTGCGGGGACTGACGGAGGAGCAGTCCGCTGGGAGGTGGTGTGGGGTCTGACGGAGGAGCCGTCCGCTGGGAGGCGATGCGGGGGCTGACGGAGGAGCAGTCCGCTGGGAGGTGGTGTGGGGTCTGACGGAGGAGCCGTCCGCTGGGAGACGGTGCGGGGGCTGACGCAGCACCAGGCTCGCTCCCTGGAGCGCTGACTGCCGGCCTGGCTGGGGCAGCGCTTTGTCGTCCAGGTCTGTGTCGTCCAGTGTGGCTTCCGGGCTGGTTTTTTTTCTGCGGACCGGTGGCGGCTGCGGCTCGCCGCCGGCCAGGGGCGGCTTCTTCGCATCAGTCGGCTGAGGCTCGCCGGGGCGTCGGTTCGCGCGATCCAGCTTGTCCGGCTGCCGGCGCCGTTCGCTGTGATGACGTGGCGGCTGCGCAGGGGGTTTCACGTGGCGTCGCGCGTCAGCACTGGCGCCGGGCTCGGCTGGCGTGTTGTCGCACCGGCGCACGACCAATGTACCGGCCGCCCGAGCCGACGGCTGGGGCGTACTGTCGCCCGCGCCGACAGCTGTCGCCCGGCAGTTGATAGCACGGACCGTCCGGCGGCGTTCATCACGGCCGCGACCGGAGCGCCGAACGGATCCTGCCGGCCGGCCGAGGGTGGCCCGAGTGCACGGCCGCGGCGCGTCGGACCCGTCCCGGCCGGCCGAGGGTGGCCCGAGTGCACGGCCGCGGCGCGTCGGACCCGTCCCGGCCGGCCGAGGGTGGCCCGAGTGCGCGGCTGCGGCGCGTCGGACCCGTCCCGGCCGGCTGAACGGTGTCCGTCGATACGCCGCCGGCGCAGAGGGGCGAGTCGTTAGGTGGTGAGGAGGCGCCGCTAGTCTTCCGTCCGCCGCAGTCCGCCCTGGTCGCTGCCGGCTGATTTGACTGGCCCACTGGAGGGGCTTCGCGGGATCAGCTGGAAGTGGACGCTCACGCAGCGCGGCTCTGCCCGCGGTGGTGAGGTGGAGGGGGACGAAGGCCGTGCAGCGGCTGATTTGACTGGCCCACTGGAGGGGCTTCGCGGGATCAGCTTGAAGTGGACGCTCACGCAGCGCGGCTCTGCCCGCGGTGGGGAGGTGGAGGGGGACGAAGGCCGTGCAGCGGCTGATTTGACTGGCCCACTGGAGGGGCTTCGCGGGATCAGCTTGAAGTGGATGCTCACGCAGCGCGGCTCTGCCCGCGGTGGTGAGGTGGAGGGGGACGAAGGCCGTGCAGCGGCTGATTTGACTGGCCCGCTGGAGGGGCTTCGCGGGATCAGCTTGAAGTGGACGCTCACCCAGCGCGGCTCTGCCCGCGGTGGGGAGGTGGAGGGGGACGAAGGCCGTGCAGCGGCTGTTTTGACGCCGCCAAGCTGCGGATGGGCGCTCCTGCCTCCCCGATAACCTGCTGGTGGTGACAGAGCGATGTCCAGTATCAGTGACGACCTACCTCGCTGGTCTTCGTGACTCGTGCTTGATCAGATTTTCCCGTCACGTTGAAAGGAGAGCTGTTTCCTGTCTTGTTGGAATCTTTGACACCATTGCGGTGCTGCAGTCTTCTGACAACTATCCCAGGTGGAGAACGCGTCACGTTTGAGGACTCATTTCCGTTCCATGCACCGATTATGAATGCTACGGCCTTTCCGTGAACGAGGTGATTGCATGTGTCGATTGTAATCCCCCACCGCTGTAAGTGGAGCCTTCGACACTGGTGGTGCCGATTATGAGCCGGCCTCTCCACGGTCGATGTTTGGCATGGCCTCAGCAACACGTTAGCCTCCCGTTCGCGTGCTGGACGCGGGTCCGCGGAGCTGGTCAGATCTCATGGGACGCCGCACCAGTGGCCCCCCGCCGGCTGCTGGCTGAACCCTTAGGGTGTTGGAACGGGCCACACAGCAAGCGCGACTCTGTGGCCGGACCCATGAGGGCCAAGATATGACAATTATATAGATATGTATGTATCCATTTTGAAAATTATTATGTTGTCGTTTGTAAGTATATATATATATATATATATATATATATATATATATATATATATGTATATTATATCATGTCATGTACACAGGCCAGTTTATCTGTCGTGTCTGGTCGTACTTCTCAGCCGTCGACACAGCATGTGACTGACCAGTCCCGGAGATGCAGCGTTGCTGTCTGTCTTAGGCCCGTTCTGTGTGACCTGTGTCACGGTCCCGTGCCGTGTGTGGCCTTTCTCACGGCTCTCGTGCTATGTCTGACCTGTGTCTTAAACCCGTGCTGTGTCTGATCCGTGTCGCGGATCCCGCAAAGCGCCGCAGCAGACGCGTCCGCCCGGCCGCCGACGCCGCTTCTGACCCGCCCCGCCCGCGACGCCGCTTCTGACCGCGCCCTGCCTCCCGACAGATCCTGTCGCAGACGAAGCTGCTGCTGGAGCTGGTGTGCCCGGCGCTGGGCGTGTCGACGCCGCCCGACCTGGAGCGGCTGCTGCGCGTCACATTCGCCCAGTTCTCCCAGAGCGGCCGGCTCCGGCACGGCTCGCCCAGCAGCGCCGACGCCGCCGCCGCCTCCGCCGACGACGGCTTCGACGAGGACGACGACGAGGAGGAGGAGGACGAGGACGAGGACGATCTGGAGCCCGATGAGGATATGGACGAGATGCACATAGAGATGGAGGAGCCCACCGCCGGCGATAAGGACCCGGTGCGTGGCCTGTGGGGCGACGGCTGGCGGGGAGGGTCGCCGTGTCGTGGTTGGGGGAAGACTGGGAGGTGAGACGCATTGTCCTACGAGCGGGGACCTGACGTTCGCTCCAGTTGTCGTCGTTTCGACATTCCGCTATCATTGAAAATTCTGCCTGTCTTTAGAAGCAATCCCACTTAACCACGTCGGTGGGCAGAGGCCCTCGTGATGACTGGTTTGATTTGCTTAGTGACTGTGTTTTTGTTTCAATTGAACGTCCGCTTCTAATGATAACGTGGCGTTAGATTGATGTAATGCTTGTTGATATTGGCGGTTTGTATAGTTATTTGAATTGAAAGTCGGCTTCCAATGATGATTTGACGTCAGATTTATGTGATGCTCGTTGATATTGGCGAATAGCGCTGCTGGTCGGCGGCGTGTGTGCGTGTGGGGGGGGGGGGGGGGGGGGGGCGTGTCCGCTGCCCGAGCTGACGCCAGTGGGCTGCCGAGCGCAGGACAAGGAGCTGTGTCCGGAGCACCAGCTGGCGCTGGAGCGTCTGCGACAGCACCACTCACGGGAGCTGACGCGCGGGCCCACCACCGGCGGCAGCGTGCAGGCCACAGACCGGCTGATGAAGGAGCTGCGCGATATCTACAGATCGGACAGCTTTAAGAGCGGTCAGTGAGGCGCGCCGGCCGCTGCCCGCGGGGCTGAGAGGCGGCACGGGGGCTGCCCGCGAGGCTGAGAGGTGGCACGGGGGGCTGAGGGGCGGCACGGGTGGCCGAGAGTGTCAAGGTGTGGCGTCCTGACGGTTGCAAAGGCGATAAGCCTGGCGTGATGACAGAGGCGGCCTGCGAGCCGTTCCGCCGACACTATGAGTGATGGTCAGCGGGTGTAACGGCAGGCATATTTCCGGCTCGGTGGGCCCGAGAGTGGTCAGGTGATAGTGGGCGCTCGACGCTACCAGTCTTGTAGCCTTGAGCCTTCCCATCTCAGCACGGGGATGGGACGCCCGGGTACCGACGGCTTAGCGGCGTCATTGGCTGCTGATACGAGCGAGAGGAGGGACGTAGTGGAAGTCACTGCCCCGAGCTGGGGGTCAAGCGTACGCGACGCGGTATGCGAGCAAATCTCTCCAACGACCGACATTGGGCCAGCAGTGTTGAGAGCTGACGTCGGCCCAGCAGTGCTGAGGGCTGACGTCGGCCCAGCAGTGCTGAGGGCTGACGTCGGCCCAGCAGTGCTGAGAGCTGACATCGGCCCAGCAGTGCTGAGAGCTGACGTCGGCCCAGCAGTGCAGAAAGCTGACGTTGGTCCAGGAGAGCTGGGAGCTGACCGCTGGCTGGGCGCAGCGCGCTCTGTAACTGTGACGCGCCGCTTTAGCAGCTGCCGGGGTCTTGCGACCAGGCCCGGTCAGCCAAGCACGGCAGGCTCACGCTGACAGAGGTAGCCCGCTGTGACAGCCTTCAACAGCTGAGAACGCGCCGATTGTAACAACCGGATATGCAACGTCTTGGTACGGCAGGCGCGGCGTCGTGCATAATGCTGGGTACGGTGTGCCTGAGCCGGACTTAAGCCCAGGGCGTGGCCGGCCTGAGTCCCGGAGGCCGTGCGCAAGCGGTGCTGCGCGAGCCGTAGACTGAGCCCAAACGTGAGCCTGAGCCCGAGCCCGAGCCTGAGCCCGAGCCCGAGCCCGAGCCCAGGCCCGGGCCCGGGCCCTAGCCCGAGCCCGAGCCCGAGCCCGAGCCCGAGCCCGAGCCCGAGCCCGAGCCCGAGCCTGAGCCCGAGCCCGAGTCCGAGTCTGAGCCTGAGGCTGAGCCTGAGCCCGAGCCCGAGCCCGAGCTCGAGCCCGAGCCCGAGCCCGAGCCCGAGCCCGAGCCCGAGCCGGAGCCGGAGCCGGAGCCGGAGCCGGAGCCTTAGCCCGGACCCGAGCCCGAGCCTGCGCCCGAGCCTGAGTCTGAGCCCGAGCCCGAGCCCGAGCCCGGACTCGAGCCCGAGCCCGAGCCCGAGCCCGAGCCCGAGCCCGAGCCCGAGCCCGAGCCCGAGCCCGAGCCCGAGCCCGAGCCCGAGCCCAAGCCCAAGCTCAAGCTCAAGCCCAAGCCCGGGCCCGAGCCTGAGCCCGCGCCCGAGCCGGAGTCTAAGCCCAGGCCGGAGTGGAAGCCCGGGCCGAATTCGAACACCGAGTCAGCTGCTTGATGAACCTCATAGCCAACAATAGCAATCATGGTGGTTACCCGCCTTACGTGCGGTCGGCGCCGCCGTTGAGCGGTCAATCCGCTCAACAGCGAGCCGCATCCTTGGCCGTGTCGGGATCCAAGGCTCATGGCGCTGCTTCTGTTTTACATCGGGGCGGCGTGTCGCCGACTCAATGCCGTCTATGTTACCCCGGCTCCGTGCCGTTACAGCGGCTGTGGGGTGGATGCCGAGCCTCATGTCAAAGCCGGAACACAGTCCAGGGTGGTTCGGCTCCTGCCGTGACTGGCTGGCTCACTGGCTCATGTCTCGTGTCATGTCCTCGGGGGCATGTCTGTCGCAGGTCCCTGGGGTGTGCCCCTGACAGGTCCCTGGGGTGTGCCTCTGACAGCCCCCCGGGGGTGTGCCTCCGACAGGTCCCAGGGGGTGTGCCTCTGACAGGTCCCTGGGGGTGTGCCTCTGACAGATCCCAAGGGGTGTGCCTCTGACAGCCCCCTGGGGGTGTGCCTCCGACAGGTCCCCGGGGTGTGCCTCTGACAGGTCCCTAGGGGTGTGCCTCTGACGGCCCCCTGGGGGTGTGCCTCCGACAGGTCCTCGGGAGTGTGCCTCTGACAGGTCCCCTGGGGTGTGCCTCTGACAGGTCCCTGGGGGATGCCTCTGACAGGTCCCTGGGGGTGTGCCTCTGACAGGCCCCCGGGGGTGTGCCTCTGACAGGTCCCTGGGGGATGCCTCTGACAGGTCCCCGGGGGGGAGGGGGTGCCTCTGACATGTCCCCGGGGTGCCTATGACAGGTCCCCGGGGGGGGGGGTGCCTATGACAGGTCCCCGGGGGTCTCTGACAGGTCTCCTGGTGTGTGCCTCTGACAGGTTCCCGGAGTGTGCCTTTGACGGTCCCCCGGGGGGCCTGCAACAGGTCCCCGGAGGTGTGTTTGACACAGGTCCCCGAGGGCGCGTCTGTGACAGGTTCCCGGGGTGTGTCTGCCGCAGGCCTCCGGAGCATGTCTGTCATAGGTCCCCAGAGGCGTATCTGAGACGCAGATTGAGCGCTGTTGGCGGTGACGCGGTCCCAGTGTCGTGCTGGCGCCTCCGGTACGCGTCTCTGTGCCGGCTGGCCCCGGCCCATCTGATGGGCGTTATTGCGCCGGACGCCGCCGGGCGCGGCTCGGCGCTGGACCAGAATAGCGGCCGGCAACGGTTCTGGAGTACCGTCCGCTGGGGCCCCGTCCGCGGGGGGGAGGGGGGAGGGGAGGGACACTGTTGATACCGTACCCCGGCGATGTGTGCTTGCCGCCGCGTTCTGGGGCTGGGTTTTATTATTTTATGTAAGTGTAGTGCAAGTTGCGAGGTACTTCGGCGCTTAACTCGTGCTGTGTAGAGCCAGCACGCACACAGAAATGAACTGTGTGCCGTAGTGCATAATCGTGTGTGCACACGATTGGCATGTTTATCGAAAATTGCTGCTCGCATTACATGCAGGGCCATCCGCTGCAACACTGGTTCCGCTTTTAATAGCTTACGTGTCATTGTTGCCGGGCTCCGGGAGCCAGGGCACGTTCGATCCGCGGATCCTACGCCGCCGTCCGCGGCGGGGAGCCGAGGCTGCCTGCGTCTGAGTCACGTCATCAGCGCCGTCTGAATGACGTCATTCGCGCCGTCGGGCTGGAGTGGACCTTTTGTCGCGCGCTCCTCACCCCCGCCCCCTCCGCTCGGCAGGCTCGTTCAAGGTGGACCTGCAGAACGACAGTCTGTACGACTGGAACGTCAAGATCTACAAGGTGGACCCGGACTCGCACTTATACAGCGACCTGCGCCAGCTCAAGGACAAGGAGGGCATCGACCACATCCTGCTGAACCTGGTGTTCGAGGTGGGTGGGCGCGCGCCGACCGAGGCCGCAGTGGCAGCGTCAGGCATGACTGCTGTATTTGTATCGGGCATATTTGTCCGATACACGTGTTCGCATAGCTTCGTCCCGTTTTGGTGGCATCTGCGTTATCAGGCTTCTCTCCTCGTCATGGAGAAAAAGGAGCTCACGTGTCGTTCTGGAGTGGGACCCACTCCCTGGAAACAGCGCCAGGTGGCTCGGGCCGATGTGCCGGTTAGCCGGTGCTTGGGATGTGCCTTAGCGGGCTGGCCGATGTGCCGGTAGCCGGTGGCTTGGGCCGATGTGCCGGTAGCCGGTGGCTTGGGCCGATGTGCCGGTAGCCGGTGGCTTGGGCCGATGTGCCGGTAGCCGGTGGCTTGGGCCGATGTGCCGGTAGCCGGTGGCTTGGGCCGAGGTGCCGGTAGCCGGTGGTTTGGGCCGATGTGCCGGTAGCCGGTGGCTCGGGCCGATGTGCCGGTAGCCGGTGGTTTGGGCCGATGTGCCGGTAGCCGGTGGCTCGGGCCGATGTGCCGGTAGCCGGTGGCTTGGACCGATGTGCCGGTAGCCGGTGGCTTGGGCCGATGTGCCGGTAGCCGGTGGCTTGGGCCGAGGTGCCGGTAGCCGGTGGTTTGGGCCGATGTGCCGGTAGCCGGTGGCTCGGGCCGATGTGCCGGTAGCCGGTGGCTTGGGCCGAGGTGCCGGTAGCCGGTGGTTTGGGCCGATGTGCCGGTAGCCGGTGGCTTGGGCCGAGGTGCCGGTAGCCGGTGGTTTGGGCCGATGTGCCGGTAGCCGGTGGCTCGGGCCGATGTGCCGGTAGCCGGTGGCTTGGGCCGAGGTGCCGGTAGCGGTGGTTTGGGCCGATGTGCCGGTTAGCCGGTGGCTTGGGCCGATGTGCCGGTAGCCGGTGGTTGGGGCCGATGTTGCCGGTAGCCGGTGGCTCGGCCGATGTGCCGGTTAGCCGGTGGGCTTGGGCCGAGGGTGCCGGCTAGCCGGTGGCTTGGGCCGAAGGTGCCGGTAGCCGGTTGGTTGGCCGATGTGCCGGTAGCCGGTGGCTTGGGCCGATGTGCCGGTAGCCGGTGGCTTGGGCCGATGTGCCGGTAGCCGGTGACTTAGGTCTTCTGGGGTCGGAGGTTGCCATGTGTGATGGCATACGCTCAACCTAAGGGGTTCAGGCCTTCAGCTCCTCACTCTCGTGTATAACACGGTCGTCTGTTTTGCATCGCGCCGCGTGTCGACCATCCTTGCGACGCCCATATGACATACAGAATTTCGTCACGGCATGCGATCCGGAGCCGGCGCGTCTGATGCCGACTTGTGTTGCTGGCGTCGGGTGATCCCTGGCCGGTGGTTGGGCCGTATCCCCGGGACATTTCAGCCAATGTCACGCGGCCGCCCGACATGCCGCTCCGCCCAGTGCTGTGTCGTGCCGTACCCGTGAAGCTATCAAAGTAATCGCATGTGATTTAACTAATAGGAACAGCTGTTTGGCAACAAATAACGCTCCATGCTACCGCAGTCACCAATTACACGGAACCGGGAAACATTCGTGCCGACCGTGTTCTCATTGCACTGAACACTGGTGTGGTGCTGCTCTTCGTACGGTTGGTTTCTTCCATCTCAGCTGGTCCCAAGCATAAGGGTTGTAATGTACCCACGCGTGCCGCCCCCCCCCCCCCCCCTCTTTTCCGTCGGTGCGGCGCCTGCCCCCGCCCCCCGCCCCCGCCGCCACCGCCGCCGCCCGCTAACCGAACGCCCGCCGCCGCAGGACAACTACCCGTTCGAGCCTCCGTTCGTGCGCGTCGTGTATCCGGTGATGCAGAACGGCTACGTGCTGCTGGGAGGCGCACTCTGCATGGAGCTGCTGACCAAGCAGGGCTGGACGTCGGCCTACACGGTGGAGGCCATCATCATGCAGATCACCGCCACCCTGGTCAAAGGCAAGGCGCGCATCAACCAGGGCGCCTACAAGGTGAGGCACGCGCCGGCGCGCGGCCGCCGACCGAGTCCGTCCTGCGGACCAGCGGTGGCGGCGGGCGTCCAGGGCGGTGGCCTGGGTGGGAGGAGAGGGTGGAGGGCAGGTGCCTGCTGTGGAGCGTGCTGCGTCTGTAGGCGCGATGCACTGTAGGCGTGTGGTCGCGACGCACTGTGAGCGCCTGTAAGCGTGTGTGTGGAACTCGCTGTTACCACCGCGCTATGAGAGCTTGATCACCGCCGGAGGTGCTCTGGGCTGTCGACGCGCGTGACACCTCGTTGAGCCGATATTGAACCACTCGTGAAGGATCCCCTCGAGGATGAGGAGTGGGGAGGGGCCGCGGAAGGACTGCGTGCTCAGATGCTTCTGCTTATGTTTGTATATTGGCTGGGTATGGGAACGCTGCGAAGAAGGCGGACGGGTGGGGAGGGAGGAGGAGGACTGGACCCGCTGACGTCAGCTGCTGCGTGCTGAGTTTCCTCACGAAGTGCAGGCTTGACGCGGGTATAACGCATGTCATGTGCAGAGGCGAGACGGCACTTCCACTTGGCGGTGTTGCACAGCAACCATACGCAGGGGAACAGCGGCCCATACGTGGCATGTGTTGTCATGACACGTGCTTGTAGTTGCGAGTCACCTAGACATTTCCACCGTCCCGAGTGTGATATGTTGTTGGCTTGTTGCGGCCAGGGTCAGCATCGCGGCCCCTGGGTTCGGTTGGGTTTTTTCTTCGTCCTTGGTGCCCCCCCCCCCCCAAATATGGTTTTAGTAAAGTTCGTCTGCGGCGGGAGAAACGATCACTGGGTCGATCGCTGCAGCATTGGGTCACTGCATCTATTTCGCCTTTCCGCAAATCCCCCCCCCATGCCATTTTCGTTTTGTATTTGCTGTAAGGTGTCAGTGCTGTTATGGCAACCGTATTTCGTAGTTCGTGTTTGAAGGACGTGTTTGATATATAAACACCACAAAGGTATAAAACGTTGCAAGTATGCCCATCTCCTGGGCTGTGAAAACAAGACTTCGAAACCCTACGGAGCCATTGATTAAGCTGCTTTCTCCTCGTTTAGGGTTGGCGAATGGCGAACTGACCATGAAACAGCCAATCTTACGTTCTTCGCGTACCCAGACATGTCCCAGACAAGGACTGGATTCATGGGCGGGATAGTTTTTAATGGCGTGCCTAATCCACGCGTTGTGATGGCTCAGGTGTCATTTTCCTTTGCTCCCTCCATTCGCCTTTTCGTGTTACATCGGGCTTGCGAAATTTGGGCTTTAGCCTTCACTATAAGGAGAGTTGGCAGCGTCGGTGCCGACCAGCGGTGCGTCGGCATTTCAGGCCGCGGCGTTACGGTGTCGTTAATGAAGGCAACATTTTCCTTAATATCTGCATGTTTCGTTGAGGTTGAAAAGTGCGCTTGGCTTAGCCACATTTTAGCCTCGTTCACGAGAAAAAGGTTAGAAGTCCTCGTGAAATGTCCAGTCCGTTAAGAAAGCTATCTTCACTGTCGACTGTGATCCGCAGCCGACTTTTTTTGCTGAGTTGTGTGCTTTATTCTGTTGTGCATCGCTCTCCCGCCAGTTTTTTTTTCTTTGTACACTCCCAACACACCGGTGGTTTGGTTTGGCCGTTGGCCCGCTCCCTCTCGATGGATCACCTTGCGCCTCCTCCATTAGCTTTTGTGATCCATGTTGGCGCGAAATAGGTGAAGTGTATTAATGAAACTTGGCTACCGTTGAATTGCACTGGGAGTCCACGTCGTTTTTCTTCGTCAGTCGGTGTCCATTTCTAATGGGTTTGGATCCTGTTTCCGGTCACTCTAGAACTGATGCCGGAGATTCAGATCAGCTTTAGACTCGTTGGACGCGTGTTGTGGATGTAGTGCACGGTTCGGATAGATCCGTGGGAGGAGAGGCTCGTGGAAGCATCATCGCGCCACCGGACTGACCCATGGGCGCCGCGTGACGTCGTGGACAGTCCCTCCACGTAACATCGTCCACCGCGGTGCGGTGATTACCCTCCAGTGTAGGTGCACGCGTGCGTCACTGCGCTGACAGTCTGCCGTGGCTTACAGGGACAGTACAGCCTATCCAGAGCCAAGCAGTCTTTCAAGTCCTTAGTTCAGATCCACGAGAAGAACGGTGAGTGAAGTGATCGTGCCATTTGTCGCGCGCGGCGGGCGGCTCGCGGGCCGATGGCGTCATCTGTGGGATCCGCCCACGAATGTGCTGTGCTGAGCTGGCACTGTGCGTTCTGTTTGATGCTATCTGACCTGAGCTTTATGGAAGAGTACGCGTTGATGGCGTGTCTTCATTGTTTGTTTGTTGTTTTTTATCGTGTCTGTGGGCACTGTGTGCTCAGTATCCCAGTGTGCTATCTTACTCCACGAGTCGTCGCGAACCACGTGAATGTGTTACGGTCAGCGACACGCGAGCGGGTTGGCGAATGAGCGACGCGTCACTTAGGCTTGTGTCGCAGGTCATTCTGTGCCCAAATTATCTGTGTATCAGGAAAGACGGTGTTTTCCAGCTGGCATAACTCTTGTCTCCAGACGCCCTGTCCTTCCCCAGGCCTCTTCGACACCTGTGCCCGTTTCAGCGTTTTCCGATCCCATGCGCTCCGTCCCAGTTGTGTTCTAACCCCGTGCGCTTGTTCCAGTCGCGTGTTAAACCCGTGCGTCCCGTCCCAGCCGTGTCGTAACTCCGTGCGTCCCGTCCCAGCCGTGTCGTAACCCCATGCGCCCCGCCTCAGCCGTATTCCAACCCCTGCCTCCCATCCCAGGCGTGTTCTTGCCCCGTGCACCCTGTCTCCAGCGGCGTTCTAACCGCATCCGCTGGTCGGCAGGCTGGTTCACGCCCCCCAAGGCGGACGGCTAACGGGGCGGCGGCCGGTCCCGCCCGCGGACCCGGCGAGATCTCCTCCGTGGCGGCCCGCCCGCGCCCGGCCGCGCCGCCTCGTCCGGCGCCGGCGCGCTGACCTCATTACTGTGCGCCCCCGAGCCGCGGGACGCCGCACGGCTCGCCGTCGCGCTCTCGGCGACCGTGGAGGCCGGCGCCGTGCAGCCGGCGGCCGGGCCGACGCTGCCGGCCACCAGGCGTCACTCTGGCTGGCGCCGGCCTCCGGCGAGCGGGCGCTCTTGTACATACCGCCTGGATACGTTTTTGTACGCTAAGATACCTCCTGGGTTCGCGCTGTGCTGGCCTGCCGCGTATATGTGTCGCGCGTGAGTGTCGGGTGAGTGTGGTGGCGCTGTGGCGCGCCGGAGCCCTCCGCAGACACCGGCTCGGTCGCGGAGCAGGCCAGAGCGCGGTCGGCAGCCGTCGCCGCCGCCGCCGCCGCCGCCGCCGTCGCCGACCGAATTCCATGGGTATTGCTGGCGGCGTCAGCTAGCTAGAGCGGCCGCGGAGCCAGCGGCGCCCCCGGCCGCGGCCGCGCGCCGTTTTGTACGTGTAGATAGCTAGTGGGGTGAGTGGGGTGTGCGGACGGACGCACGGGCGGGACCGGGGCGGCGGAGCGCCGGGCGGCAGCCGACGGCTCGCCGCGCCCTCTGTGCGCCGGTGGGCTGACGTCAGCCTGTGAGGGAGGAGGCGGCGCTCGAGCTGGTGTGCGCCCCCGGGACGGCCGCTCCCCGAGCCCGGCCCGACGGTGGAGCCCGGCGGGCCAGCCACGCGCCCATGTGGCCGGGGCAGCGGCGCACGGCCGGTGTCCGTTCGCGCGTGTCCCCGTGCTGTGTGCGCGTGTGTGTGTTCGTGTGCCAGGTCTGTGTGCCAGACAGTGTACAACCCTTTCAATCGTCTCTCCTCGGATAACTCTGATGGCGGCGCTCCGTGCGCCGACACGTCTTCGCACGGTGTGAGGCAGAACTTAACGGACGGTCGTCAGCACATCTCCTTGTGTGTGTGTGTGTGTCTTGTGATTCGGTCTTATCCTTAGTTGGTACGGATAGTCGAAAAGCACCCCACGCCCACCCCCCACTGTAGTGAATAGGCGGAGTTATTTTTGATAAGGGACTCTGTATTGATTGGTGTGGCCGCACGAGCTGAATGTGTCGCAGCGGCCGCGTGCGGCCGAACTGCCTTCCTTTGTCGTGCACCTGTACAGAAATTTCTACTGGGCGCTCTAACCATTGCGACAACTTCAAGTTACTCTTTGATTTGAACTGGCCACGTTTGATGGCTTTAGAGCCCTTTCAATCAACAATGTACTTGTAGACCCCTATGCTGGAATACACCGTTCTGCAAATGTGTGTTGTTGAGGTTGCTGAGGATCGCCGCGATTGAGTCGCGGGAGTCGAGAACAGCTATTGTGCTACTGGTTGAATGTGGTTGGCCGGGGGAGATTAACTAACCGTGCAGTGAGACGGATGTGTTTTGCGAGGTCTGAGAGCCTCGGGTAGTTTGTCTCGGTTGCCATCTGCGCAGATCATTTCACAACGTGCCACCGCGTTCTATTTATTCAATGTTTGCAGCCATTGACGCCCGACGCTCGCGCGGACCGAACGGCTAATCAGATGGCCCGGTATGGTGCAGGTGCAGATCCACTGGACCGGGGTGCGTGACCCCCAGCGTGCACGAGACCACGTGGCAAGACGATGCACAATGAATTTAACTTACTCGTGGGGCTGCGAGCCCCCTCCCCCTCGCCCCCCCCCCCCCTCCCCCCGCCCCCTCCCTCATCGCTCAGCAAAGGGAACCGCTCCCCCAGCCGGTGACATCTATTGTGAGATGCGCAAAACAGATAACGTCAGATGCACCGCGCGCAGCGTCGCGGGGTGCATCTGAAGACGGACCCTACCAGGTCCGTCTTCACCCGGCGCCTCCACCGCCGGCGACCGACACCTACTGGCTGTGTCTGCTTGGCTGTATCTGCCGATTCTTGCGACGCTCAGACGGGGCGTTGAGTCTCCACGCGCTCGGATCCCGGCCCGAACTCCGGCCCGCCCCCGACCGCTGCCTTCCGCTCGCCATCTGCCGGTGACTACCGTCCGGGTCTGACCGCGCGGCGGCGTGGTCGGCTCGTCCGGCAGGCACGGCCCGGCCGGCCACCGCTCACGCCGTCATTGGCAGCCAGCCGCCGTACTGCACCGTCTGCGGCCGCAGCTGGAAGCCCCGGCCGGGCGTCATCTGGCTGGCCGCCGCCGCAGGGTCCACGCGCGCGTCGAAGATGACGTCCGTCTGCCGGCCGCCCGCCGCCGCCGCCGCCGCCGCTGGATACCTCACGGACGCCTTGACGTCCACGCTGGCGTGCGCGTCCGCCCCTGGGGGCCGCGCGGGCCGAGAGGGGGCGCGCGCCGCCGGTGCCGGTGGCCCCCCGCGATCCGACCGCTCCGAGAAGGGCTCGAAGAAGAGTGCCGAGTCGAAGCCCTCCCAGTGATTGGTCGGGGCCAGCGGCTGGCGTGGATTGGCTGAGGGATAGATCCAGTTGGTGCGTCGCCGCACCGCCTGGCGCCTGCCGAATGGCCGCCGGACGCCGCGGTGCTTGTCCGCCAGAGGCGCTGTGATCGCCGGTCGCCGGACAAGTCTCGTAAGCGGACGGCGGGCGCGCTGAACGTCAGCGGCCGAGATGCGTTTCAGTAGGACGGCGCGCGGCAGGACCGGCGGTTCAGAGCCATCTCGGGACGGCGAGGCGAGGTAGAGCTTCAGGGTGCCGCCGGGCGGCGGCTGGACGAGGCGACCTCTGGGACGGAACGGACTTCGTCTGCGGGACCGGGAATCCATCGTCAGTGGTGGGAGCGGTCAGTGAGCAAGGTACCAGACAAGCACATCGACTTCCGATGAGGGGGGAGCGGGCAGCCCTCCACTCAAAGCTTCATTGGGACGCATCGCCAGTAATCGATGGGAACAAAAGAGCAAACCGCACGGAAGACACTGCTGTATGCACAAAATGAATTGTGTGGAGATGTGCCCCTAACCAAGCGTCACAGATGAAGGATATGAGTATCTAAACGGTTGACTTTATGTCTTCTAATATCTCACTTTCCTTCCGTTTAGCCAGATCATTTGCTGGAAACGAAAGAGGTACCGTTATAGGTTGCGGTAAGGACCCTTTCGGCTTAAAACAAATGTTTTGACTGCGGGCGTACAGGAACCGATATCTTATGCCTTCTCGTTTGGTGTCTAATACGATTTAAATACGTGCCTTACACGCTCCAAAAACGTGCCCGCACCCTCTGAAATAACCAAACTGTATGCTCAAATGCATGCCCGTAAAAACCTTCCCCATCAAGATGACAGCGTTTGACAACAGCCGGTGCTGAAGCCAGCGTGCCCGCTGTGGGCCGGGCTCAGGGGCGAGCCTGACACGGACTCGGCCGGGCCTGTGGGCGGCGCCCGTGGCCGCTGACCTGTGTCGGTGGCCGGCCGGCTGCAGCGGCGTCCACGCCGAGCGCTCCTGGCCGGTCGCCGTCGGCCGTGGTGGCAGACACAGCGTCGGAGCCGCCATTGCCAGCAGGGTCACTGCAGTCCAGAGCTGGCGGAACACGGCCAGGCCCATGACAGGGTCAACAGCGACCGGAGCTTTCGGGATGTGAACAGATTTGAAGTTCAGCGGGTCACGTATCTCTCGTACGAATGTGTGAACGGTGCAGTGCAAAGCCGACCTTGCCCGTGGAAAGCACGAACAGGCTGGTAGCATATCCAGGGCTAGACGTTCTTATTTGTACGGTGAGCAGCGTACAGATTCAGAGCATATCATGCACCAGAGTACTTAAGCTACATGCTGCTGGAAGTCGGCACACAGCAAGCATAACGGCGTGCATGCACACAACGACAGAATAGGTGACTATTCAGCGTCTCGCACAGCCAAAACTTGAAGCGCGCATTGTAATAGTTGTTGGGTCCTCGATTGCAGATGTTTGTGTCGCGTTGTATAGTATTGCATAGAGAATACGGCACATGTATTGTTTAGCCATAGGTAATCCGCTGCTCCTGTGCCCCTACGTGACGTGGCATGGCCCAGTAACGTGCAGGCGGAGGGGGCAGGCTCTATCCCACGACATCTGAGAGTCACCGGTCCCATTGTTTCCCGGAAAATGGCGATCGGTTCGCCGAAATGTAGGCCAGATTTATTTTTTTTAATGATCGCTTTTAACGAGGGGGCAAGGAATGTCAAAATTCCGGGGACAGTCAGTCAGTGCCGCCGCGCACTTATATGGCCGCGTTTGCACCTAGCTAACATGGTCCAATAGTTACCGTACGCCTGTTACATTTGAGTAAGTATGAAGACTTAAAAGCCTCGGGCGTTTCCAGGCCTTGCGAAGAGGGGGAATATAAAAGAAAACATACAGTTTTTCCATTGTATTTCCTCCACACAATGCGCTTAACAGTCATATGACTGGCATGTCTTAAGCACGAAAAGTCGCATTTATACGAACAAGATGCCATGGCTGGGGTCACGGAGGTGAAGAGGTCACGTCGGGGCGTGACGAATGTTGACGGTCCGTTTCACCGCGTTATTTTTTT